GGGGGGGGGGGGGGGCAGTGTAAGCGTACAATATAACTGCGTCAGGCTTTGGCGAGCACAGCGCGTCTAAATTGAAGGGCTTACCCGATGCGTGAAGTACTGGACGGTGATGGCGAGAGCCTGTACCGTGTCGTCGGCCCTCTTGCCCCAGGCGGTCTCGAGCACCCGCTGGCGGGCGCAGGCCTCCTCGAGCTCCCGCTGGAAAAGATCGACCTGGCTCTCCTGGTCCCTGGTCTCCTTTAGCGCCGGTGCTGGGGACGTTTCAGCGGGGATCGGCAGCGGCGACGTCTCCATGGCGTTCGACGCGACGAGGAGACCGGCCGTGCCGTTGCTGTGGTTGTGATTGCTGCTGGCATTGGTGTTGTGATTGAGGCGGACCTGATGGTGATGATGATTGTTGATGACGGGCCCGGCCGGGTCGGGCTTGCTGTGACTGTTGTTGTGGTTGCTACCGATGCTGGTCGTGCTGGTAGGCGAGGCAGCCCCGCGGTTGTTACGATCTGCAACTAATGTCACGGGACCCATGGCCCTCCTGTTAAGTCCCTACGCTACCATACACGTTTACGTGTGTCGCAGTCTTGTCTCTCGCCCTCTTTTTTTTTTTTTTTTTTTTTTTTTTTTTTTCAAGATTTTGTCATTGTTGTCAAGTGGAAAAGGCACTGCGTGAAGTGGATCGTCAATTGCGGTTATCGTCCTCGTGCTCGTAGTTATGGTCGTTGGGACACATTTGAGATACACTTGATAATTTATTAACCGGACGGGTGATAATGATACGGGGTACGCGGCTACGTGAGTAACGAGAATTTCTACCAAATTTGCTTTGTTGCAACACGCACACGTCATCATCCACATCGTCGGTGTTTTGGTATGCGACTGTGTTCACTACGAAGCGGCGATTCGCATAACGGTTACATTTTTGTTGGATAAGGGTAAATACACCTACATGCGTTGTGTATTTTACTTACCGATCGATAGGTGATGAGAAACAAAATAAAACGAACAGTTTGGCGATATAATCACGATGTAAATTTATAATATCTTTAGTTTTCAACGAAAAAAAATGATAATTTTCATTTAGCGTCGAGCGGGTACAGCCTATGTAGTATAACTAGCAAGTATACTCATGGGTACTTGATTTTTCTTACTTTTCTTGTTTTTCGAGCCTTTGAGCCTCGCCCTGTGAGCCCGCCTCGACTTGCGCTTCATTATGCTCGAGCCGATCCTCCTCCTCACATCCTCACACTTTTTCGGGTGTTTTCTTGCGTTGCATCACAATAAGCATACACACCAATGTACAACTATATACACCAAACTCCTTGCCGTTGGCAAAAATACCGATCAAACAATCATCACTCCGCGAAAACTGCACTCGTGCGTAAGCGCGCACTTGAATCTCCATACACGACAGTTGGAGCGACACTGGGACCCGAGCATCGTTCAAACGCGGCACCTTTGGATAAGTATATATAGGTATGGGGTACAACCTCAATGGAGTTTAAAACCTGCAACTCGCACTAAACGTTTGACGCAACCGGAAAGAGAGCAAAGTGTACATAAGATACACCCAAAGACCGAGAGAGGATTAGCTGGAGGTATACGGGTACACCTACCAAAACTTATGAACGGCAGAGAGAGAGAGAGAGAGAGAAAGTACAAAATTAAATGTCCAAAGGCACACTAAGTTGTTAGCGCTCGGTGGAGTACACCTACGAGAGGCCGAAAATTGCGCTCGCGCGCGTCCGAGAGCTTAGGTAGCCGGCTGCCGACTGAATTAGCGCGCACTCGCTCGTCCGCTGAGAGGAGGAGGAAGAGGAGTTACCTACCTACTAACTTGTGTGTATGTTATGAACGTAGGTACCTATATGTATGTATGTACTTGGGTAACGCAGTGAGGAGCTTCACCTTGGCCGATCCAGCTAGAGCTGCACGCCGGTCGGCGCGTCGGTTTGGCCGGCTGCCCTCGCTCCGCTGAATCGAGAAAAGAGAGCATAGTAAAAAAAAAAAAAAAAAAACAGCAACGCAACGCTCTCGGATGCGACGCCGATGGGTGCAGGTATATCCATGTATAATTATACGTGTGTGCGTGTGTAGATTGAATTTTTCTCCGGTACGGCGAGTGTCGGTTATTGGCTCCCGGGTCGTTGTTTTGGATGGTCGTTGTCGGTTGAAGCGACGCGCCGTCTGGGCCGCTCGTTTTTCTCTGCGCACGAGTGCCGATTTCTTTCTCCCCCCCCCCTCCCCCCACGGATTTCTGTTTGGAAAAAACAAAACCCACCGGCGATTGATTGCTCAAGTTCAAAGTGTATTTATAATATGTATAGACGCCAACTTTGCAACGGGGAAAAAGGTGCAATGTATATATACTTTTCAGTAGGGATTTTGGCGCTTCGAAATAAAACCAAATCGTACGAGTAGAAGTGTCAAGTGAACCGCTCTCAATCGGCGCACAACAATTTGTATTTGCAGCGGTTTACTTGATTCCCCCTCTCCGTCTCTCCTTGTCGCGCGTACGGCTTATTGCAGGACATTAACGCTCAATTGCCGATATTTGCTCCGATGGGTGCATAATTATACGTATACGATTGTAACTTGTTCGAGCATCGCGTTTTCCAATCAGTCCGTGACGCTCGTCGATCGTAAATTTCTAATTATATACGCACCCGCAGCACCTAATGCAACCCAGCGCCAACTTAATTGCACTCCGTAGATGTGTATGTGGGCGATTGTTTATTTTCACCCCTGCATTGCAAGATACCGGAGAGTTCCTTTGGCTCGTGTATATATATATATATATATTATACGCGTGTGCAACGCGATACCGATATAAATTATAACAGGTACACGCGTGGGGATAAATCAGCGTTTGCCCAAGCCGATCCGCATAACTTCACGTTCATGGGGGAGGAGGAAGAAGGAGAAAAAAAAAAAAACGACATCGGGAAAAGCAGCATATACGGAGGCTTTTTGCGAGCGACCGCTTTCTAAACTTCCACCTTATAGCGGAAAGCAATGGCTGCGTCGATGCTTCGAAACGGAGTCAACAAAAAAAGAAAAAATCGTCCCGTTTGTATATCGTCCCCCGGCCGAACTTTACGTCTCGCCTATTATATACAACACACTTGTATGTACTTATGGAGAAAAACTAAAAGTAACTTTTGATTTCACGCGCGGAAACCGGTTGTTGTTGTTGTTTTTTTTTTTTCTGCCCAACTCGACTGTCACTCATCGTATTTTGAGCCGTTTTTCCCCGTATAAGATGTATACGCGAGTAAAAGGATACAGAAACGCTGGCATGAGAGGAGCAACGTCGCGATGTACATATATCTATACGCACGCCTACAACAACGCAGTGAAAGTCCTACTGTTTTTGATGGGGGTATGTATACCTGCCTACTTGTGTAACACCTATACAAAATGCACGAAACAGAGGCGCCGCCGCTTTCTTCTTTCGGGCAAGTTTCGTCCAAGTGCCCCGAGTATATACGTACGTATACTTCTGGGCGCGCGCGTACGTATAGCTCCATGGGGGTTCTCGAGAGGCTCTCGTTACGCACGTCTGCCTGCGCGTGACCTACACTCCGTCCCGCACAGAATGTATACGCCCCTTCAAAAAATTTATCGTCCACGAAGGTGTACATACTGCTGATTCTCCCCCAACTTTGCGCGTGATTTATCGCATGGATGGATTGAAGAATACAGCAATTGTCTGGTATCGGCCCATTGAGTTGGAGTACCTATACACCATCTGGTGTTGTGATGAAGTAATATCAGCACATTGGTCGAGGAATTTTTTTCCTACTTGTACGGAGCTACTCTGGCTATAGTTACGGTGGTATCATGATCTACTAAACAGGTATATGCTTGGGGTTTTAAATAACCAGCTTATTTTTAAGCTTTTAATTTTTATCTCGTGATTATCTAAAAGCAATAGAATAAATTATATGTACCTCCGATTCGGGCGTTTGCGGGACAAAAAAAAAAAAGCATTCGACATTTTACCGTGATTATAAGGTATAGAGACGACGAGCTATAGTAGCGTTTGTCACATCACATCGAAAGCTCTCAGAAACAAAAAAGTCCCAAAATAATTATGAACGTGTTTGTTTCGCGTGTATATATAAAAACAACCGATACCTCGCAAAATCCATTGTAGGCTACACGATATCTTTACGTGTTTTTGCACTTCCCCGCTCAAGATAAATATTGGGTTTTTTTAGGATTTATTTTTCTGTCTGTGTGATGATGCCTCGAGGTTGATGACCGAGTACAAAACAATCATTATCAGCTGATTCACAATCACAGGAGACAGTCACTTTCGTCGAGACTAAATTTATACCTACTCGTACTGTCGAAAGTTATTTCCGTCGAATCGACGGACTGTTTTACACAAAGTTTCTTCTTTCGTTTTAGATTCGAAGCAAATACTCAACAAATGCACCCAATAGCTCGAAAACAACTCACATAGGTATATAGACAAGTATACATAATAAGTATATAGGTACGGGGTAATGAAAACCCTCCCTGAAATACTCTGTTTTGTTATTTCTTTCAGTTTAACAGTTTATGGGTTCCCCGCCAGCCGGTCGCAGTTATGGCTATCCTATTTTCGAGAGGTACTATAATACCTATACATATAATACTGTTGCCGATGTATACTTAGGCACGGATTATGTGCGTTTGATGATTTCGAGGAACCGTATGGTTTTATCCTCCCATTTGTCGGTACAAGCGTTGTTTATTATTGTACACACTTTTAGTGTCGAATTTCGCGTCAAACTTTAAGTACCAAAAAAAAGACTTGCCCAAAGTTAATTGTCGAATCTGAGCGGGCTAACTTACCTATACGTGTATATATATATATATATATATATACACACATACTAGTTGGGGTCCGTCCCTCTGTGAAGAAAAACTCTGTTGAGGTCGGTGAGGGGAATACGGGGTTTCCACTGGGGGGTTTGTGTGGTATGTTCCACACAAACACCCGAGTAATATTGGAATATATATGTATACTGTCAGCTATGGCCACTGTAATGTACGGCAATCATGGTGTATAGCTCAAGATAATTAAAATAAGAGTGGAGGAACTTTTTTTGTAGGTAACTTAACTGTTGGTATCGTTTGCAAAATACACCAAGACCTCGTGTAAGAAAGATAAGTGTGCCAAAGGCCTTACATAGTCTGGCTAAATGACAATTATGGAGTAGTGTCTCTGCTGTCTAACAGAGAGATTCATGTCAAAGAGATAGCATGTAAAAATATGTTAGTAAGGTTATATATAAATGCAGACAATCTACAATTATTCGTACAAATTGATTTATAATGTAACTCTNTTTTTCCTTTTTTTTTTTTTTTTTTTTTTTCGGTACACATGTGCCGGAGAACGGAACGCCGAGATTAGAAACTCTCGGCTCGTTTTGCTGCTTCGACTCATTCTCTCTAGCGGCGCTGTGCCGGTTATATTATATATATATATATAGAGGAAACGAGGACGATACACGCGTACACGTGTGCGCGTGCAATACTGAATTTCGCGCGCGTAGTAGTATAGGTACAGCCTTTTTTTTTTTACCTACTCACCCACAGGCGTTGAGGGGACGACTTATCCGAACAAATGGCCTTTGGCGCTCCGGCAAGAGTAATTATGCTGTTCGATGCGGCTAATAAGTATCCCCTTTTCGTGGGTGCACTTTTGCGCTTAAATATGGGTAATGGACGCTGTAATTCTTACGCGTCAAAGCGTGCGAGTGGGAACTTTGTTTTTTTTTTTTTTTTTTTTTTTTTCCTTGCACCGTCTAGCCAACGGTCTGGGGGCTTCGAGTAATCGCACGAACCGTTTAGTTTTACGCGATTTTTACGAGTACTCGAACAGCTCGGTGTGCCCGTGTATACGCGCTAATTTAATGAGGAGGTGTGTGTGTATAGGGTAGCGAAGTGGCCTTTTTTCTTCGAGCTTCTCGCGCTTTTAAGAGGTTTCAGGCTTTCATTAAATTTGTAGGTAAACGACGCGTGCTCCTAACGAAAGACGATTGCTCGACAATAAGGATTATTGTCATGGGTTTACTGTCAGTTTACCCAAGGCATACTATATAGTCTTTTACAAAGCGCGCGAGTCAGTTGTTGGTATATACTTTTTTTGCAAAAATTCTGTCTTTTTTTTTTGTTAATGGAATTGTAATGATTTTGAAAAACATACCTTTATTGGTAGTCGCATTTTTTTGTTTCGCGTGAACGTTGTTGGATTGGACACTTTTGATGCTGGGTGCCTTCCGGCCCGTCGAAATGTTCGATTCTGCAACAAAAAGGCACGGAAAACTCAAGTAGGTAACGACACGTCAAAATTACATTTGTCTGCATAGTTATATTATACTTCTTGACCCTACTGCAATTTATAAAAGCGAATCGCCCAAATATCGCTGGAGCCTTTGTACTCGTGTGTAATTAAAAAAAAAGTGTTTACCTCATATCTCAGTTTACTACGACTTGTCGCAAAAAAATTAAAGCATTACACCCCGTCAACAGCAAAAATTAGAAATTGCGAGTCTAAAGTAGATCGGAGACAGAGAGTGACGCGCTCACCTTTGATGATAGCCATGAAGTACGTGGTGGTCAAAACTGACGCGTCCATTATAATGTGATATGTATAGGTGCTGCTGCATGCACATGGATGGGGAGCAAAGTGCACACACAACTTGAGCGAATACTTAAACAACGCGCACGATGTCACTGACCACGCGAGGCAGGAAATTTGCCAATTCAACTCGAGTGTACAGTTTCACGGTACGTTTTGACGAGCAAATTTAGCAAATTTCACTTAGTAATATACGTGCAGAACGCCATAATTGGTATAGAGCATGTTTTTACACACGTTCAAAATCCGTCGAGCGGAACCAACGATCGGCAGGAAAAAAAAAAAAAAAAAAACAACAAATAAATACAAACAGCCCGCAATTAACACGAAAAGCAAATATACTATACTGTTACGACCTGATTGCCGTGCGAAATTAATTTAATTGCCCACCATACAGAAAAGAGAGTACACGTATGTATATATATATGTAGGTACTGTTAAGTACTGCACTTGTTTTTTCACGAGTCTATAATGTGTACGTATGTATATATCGGCTACTCGTTAAACTAGCCGGTGCGGCAATAATGACCTTTTTCTCCCGACACGGTACGATTAACCCGCGCAACACCTAACAAACACCTAAAACGAAAAATTCACCCGAAAAACCCATAAAGAGCCGTATAGCTAATGCACCAAATTGATGAAAATAGACACCGCACAAGGTATATATCCGTAGTCCCGAATTTCACAATTAATTTCCCTGCACGAGGAGAAGGGAGTGCAGGGCAGTTTGTGCACCTATAACGTAATTACATGTAGTCACACTCGATGATATAATTTATGGGGCGCTCCGATGTATACGCGCGAAGCGTCCACTTTGTTATACTGGACGAAGAGACGCAACCAGCGATCCATCGAACGAGTCTAGAAGGAGAGAAAAGAAACAACATTGGGCAACGGAAAGCCTGAGCCCCTTCGGTTTCACAAGTCACTCGCAAGTAGGTAGGTAGATAGGTAGGTATGGGCCCAACTTCCAATTTCGGAAGGCCGGTAAAACGACTCGACAAATAAAACACCGCGATTGCACTTGGAACGAAATGAGGTACCACCAACAGGATAAGTTATATAAATAAAACACCGCGCGAGCTTCTGGCACCGTCCGAACACTAGCAAGGAGCACCGGAGGATCGAGAGGAGGAGCTCTCGACGCGGGAAAAGTGCGAGTGCATCTGCAGCTCGGGCAAGTGGTGGTTAAGTATTATAGGTGTACAAGCTCGGTCTGGTCGCCTATATAAGAAGACCATGGGCGCCGCGCTTGGCCGCTATTCGCTGCTCAGCAAATAGTATAACGTATCCACACGAGGAAAGTATGGCAGATATAAGTATATATATGTACACATGCAGGCAAGATATGTTATGTACCGTTAAAATATCAGATATGTATACTACTTGGCGGTGGTAAACCACCGCAGGGAGTAATGACTGAAAATCTGGTGCGTGCGTGTGCTCCTCCTCCCCCTCTTTCTTATTTTGCTGCATCTCTAATTCTTTCACCACACACCGGGGGATCACGCGAAAACGGCCATCAAGGAGTGATAAAACCTCGGATATGATTATGTTGTACCTATACATGTACACTCTCGAGTCTCGAGTTGGCATAAAACCTGCAGATGTGCGTGTACCACTGTAGCTTAGGCATGAAATTTTTCGCCAAGCCGAATTATTGAAAAAACAAAAAAAAAAAATTTATCATGACGGAGATGCTTGTGCGCGCGGATAAATTCCTCGGGAAGGCCGTCCCGCGAATCGTATGGCAAAATTTCTCTCCCATAGAATGTATGATACTAAATGTGCAGCTTTTATTAGGTACATATGCATATAGGTGGTACAATCTCGGGGAGCCCGTCTCCGAAAGTATAAGGAAATGAGAGAAATCCGCCGAGCTCAAAAAGCCCGCAACTCTGCTCCTCCACTCATATGCGTGTATATATACGCGTATACATACGTGTATACAATATATATGTTATGCGGGCCAAAATGATAAAAGTACAGATGTATAAATGCGCGAGAGCGCCCGCAGAGAAAGTGCACAAGCACGCGACAAAAGTTAATATAAGCCAACAGCCTAATACGCGATTCTGTGTGCGCGCGCGCGCTCATATTTATAATATATAGGTAAGTACACCGATATAAATTTATCTAGAGTTTGCTCGATCTCTGCATATGATTGTATACCTACTTCTTGTACACGTGCATATTATATATATATAAACATGTACATGAGAGTTCTAATAAAGCGTCTCTCACGCGTACTTTCGATTATTAACTTTTACGCGTGCGGTGGGTGATAACAGGTACAGGATATATTTATACATATACGTATATGTATATACATATATGTATGACGAAGAGAAAGAGAGATATTGGCCGGCTGGGAACATTTGACGCGAATAAACTCAACAAGTACATTTTTATGCTCACTAAGTAAACATCATCACATTTTTTTAAAACTGGATATACATAACGCATAGGTATATGTATATGCGCCGTAAAATGCAGTTTATGAATATAACAACAATATTATTTTGAGCATTCGTTGGATCAACATTTACGATTTGTATATGGTGTACAGGTATATGCATGTGTATCTTGATCGAAAACTATTACATGCAAAATGTAAATAATTTGGGTTATTGGCTCGGTGAAAATTCCAATACTATCTGGTTAAAACATCAACATTTATATATATATGTATACTACGTATATGTATAATGTGAAGAAACGAGTGTACATAATTATATGGGCATGAGTACACGCGTATGACATGGCGTGATTGATGAAGCGATTCGAATGTCGCGTAGGCGATTATTAATGGAAAGTGAGTTTTTCCTCAAATTTTTTGTCCCTGCATTGACAACTATTTGTCACAATAAATTTACTGCCGAGCAAGGTCCCATTGAATTTCACTTTATATATATATATATTTAGTTGACAATCCAAGGATGGTAACTCAAGTACGAGAGGTAGGTGCACGTAATTCGATATACTGGTACCTATGCATTATCGCGCTTGAAGTACAAGGAAGTGCGACGAAACAGTACTCGAATTACCCTTCCGTGCAAGTGGAGGATGTAAAAAAAGCTGTCCTTTCAACTTGTGAAGTACCGTCACGCCGAAAAATATAAAAGCAAGGATATCCGAGTCAAAATTTTCCCTATGTAATGTACCAAGTGTTTTTTTTTTCTCTATATACCGATGTATATATCCTAACCAGTCATACATGTTATTATATATGCAATCCACATCTACGTGTAAGAGCCAATAAATTCGCCAATTGTTGTTTCACGCGAGAAATTTAATTGGGAAAACGTGTATCAGCATAATTATATTGATGTTGTGCGCGATTAACTGGTAGGGTAACCGTATCAACTTTAGTGAAACTCGATCGAAACAGCAGCTATACTCAAACACGTGCAGATCGGTTTGATCGTATATACGTCGAAGAAAGAAACTATACTATATATGTACGTTTAATGGCTTTTCCTTCGCCTCGTAATTAACTGTGCCCCCTAAGCTTCGAGCTCCAGTCGTCGAGATTAAATTTAATAAAAAACTACTTTGAAAAACAATGATAATAATAATAATAAAGCACTCACTGTTTGCATTGCTAGAGTTGAGCTGATTGTTGTTGGGTTGATGGGCGTCGATAAAGTTTTTCCTCGGTGGCCTCTCTGAAAACAAATCGTAAAAAACGTAGTAATGATCGCGCGCTCGTTACAACGCAGGCGCTAAGCTGACTTGTGAGCTTTAAAAAAAGAAAAGTAGAAGTAAAGGTGTTTTCTCCCGAGCCTTCGAGAAAACGTGAGCTTTCTCAACTATTTTTTTTTTTTTTTTTTTTTTTTTTTCACCACCGTGTGTGTATACTATAACGTATACATACCAGTACAAGTATTCTCGTAAACGAGAAGGAAAAACGAGGACATGCCAATCCTCATACGGGCGCTAAAATCATGGTTATTATACTTCTATTTTCAAGTTTTAGGCTGTAGTTAACTTTTACTATAGTAATATCTTGTCTGTTTAACTCCACCTAAAGCAACATAGCCATCACATTGTGTAAATTTTTTTTTTTTTTATAAATTATTCCTCAATTTTTAAAATTAACTGGAAAGAGTGAAAATTACTCATGTAAAAAAAAAAGAGCACTTTATGCACGCGCATCCTTGACTTCCCTCTGTCCCGTGTTACATGCATAGGTATATGTAAACTTATGCTGCCGATACCGTGCGAAAGAGGCGTTAATTTGTCGTAGTTTGCCGTACACACGCACAAACACAGTATATAGGCATAATTTATGCGTGTAGGTAGGTACACCGGAAATTCGAATTAATTGTAATGCGGCGCGCGATATGTTGCCCTCGAGCCGGTTGTGGTTGCATCGACGCATGTACCCATAAAAAAAAATTGTAGTGGTCAAGTGCAATGCACATACATGGGATACACACGGCACGCACTGCTGTACAACCAACCACAACAGACTTTAACTCTGATGGCTCTTTCTGGGGGACCCGACGTTGTCAAAGAGAAAGGAGTTCCCCTCGAAAATTGATTTTCTCAAGATAGATATACGTATACGTACGATGAAACCATCGCTTATTTAGCTACTACTGCTGCTGTGCATAGTCTGGTAATTTTTAAAGAGGACGATTTTTTTTGTCTCTCCGCAAGAGCCGTTCTCACGCGCAAGCCTGCCATGTGTGTAATACATATATTAGCTGTCGAGGAATGAGGTCTTAAAGTAAAAAAGGATAAGCGAGTCGCCAGGATGATACCTCCGCGTTTGAAGCTGCCGAGTCGCATCTTGGACTCGCGGCGCTGCTCGGCGACCCGCTGCAGCTGCACCTGCGCCGATCTCCCACCGACTCCGCCGCCACCACCTTTCGACGTCTGTTGGCCCATCGTTGCTCCTCGACGCTCACACCAGCAGCTGGCAAATCAACGGTGTAGTATACCAAGGACTGATCACGATGATATTCGCCCGGTCGGTCCCCTCTCATCCCAGCTCGATGCTCCTACAGCTGCGGCGAGAAGCGACGAGGACGCGCGGCTCGTCGCCTCTCCGGTGCTCGTCCTCTCCCGACTCCGCCATCGGCATGTCCCCGGCAGAGATGTTTGTTTTTTACTACTAATCGCACCTTTTTTTTTTTTTTTGTTTCTACGCCTTACACTCGCCACAGGTGAGCGTTGTTTTTTTCGTTCGGTTCGTTTTTAACTGTATTTCACTGCACACTGTGCTTCATTTTCACTGTCGTGGGTCAAAAGATTCGAGATTTTTGCGGCTCCCTCTCTCCGTGCTCAACGCGGCAGATCTTGTAATTTTACTAAAACTACAGCTCTGCCAATTCCACGACAACGTATATACAATACGTATATTTTCAGGCGGAGGAGTTGCGTCACGATTATGGATAAACGGAAAATTGACGCCGCGGGGGTGTGCGGAGGGGAAAAGCGCGCGTATTACTCTGCTCTCCCGACTCCTCCGCTTTTAGATCGCGCGCGTGGCGTCACAGCACCGAAATTCCTCCTGTTTAACGGGGCCTACTCTCTTCTTTCGCGGTGAATATATTTATACATATATATATGTTAAAACAACGGCAAATATAACGCTAGTCACGGTCCAGTGGACATTCGTTGGGCCAAACCCTTTCTTTTTCAAATCACTTTTTAGCCACGGCGATACCGAGAAAAAGTGTGTCCCCGCGCTGAGTTTTGGCTTTCGTTACGCTCGGCTAAATTTAGTGGAAACTCGAGTCTCATAATACTTATATACTCCGACCCGCCAGAACTTTCCGTCTTTTGTGCGTATAATATAAATCTCGAGTATATATATGTATATACCTATACGCGGAGCAGTGTCTTTGTGGACGCGCACCAATTACTTTTCACCCCGAGACGCTGGCAAAATATATGCATGGTAATCGCGCTACGCGCGTGGCAAAGCAAGTCGACAGAGTTAAAAGTTAAATCGAAGAAACGTATAATGTTTCGGCAGCCGGTTTCGTTATCCCGCGACTCCGAAACGCATCGAACAAACTGTTTTTATCCAAACTCCAAAAATTGGAAAAGGTGTATATTGTATTTACGACGACCGCCAACGGGAAGTAAAAGTACGAAACTGCCCCGACTAGTCTCCCCCTTTATCTCCGAGGGACTAAAAGGCCTCATGCGTATAATATATATTTATGTAACGCCGTGCGACCAGCTATTTATAGATCAATATATTGCAAAGCGGCGGGTCAGCCAATCGAAGCCGTTGGGACGAGATTTTCCTCGACCTCGGAAGTAAATGATAAACCTGCCGTATGATATTAAATGTATCATGCAGCGACGAAAAGAAGCAGCACGTATAATATCAAATGTACATAAATATAGATAGGTATAACCGTCGAGCTCCAGAGAGAGAGAGAGAGAGAGAAAAAGAGAGCCGACGAGGTTGGGAGAAGAAGAAGTGGAGGACCCAAGAAAAAGGTGGGCGACCACGTGGCCGGGACGCGCCGATGCACCTGTTTTGTCTCCTCCTACTCCTCGCGTTGACGGCGACAAAGGTCACATCACACTGCTTTCTAAGGCAGGCAAAAAAAAAAAAAAAAAAAAAAAAGAGACACATCGCGCCATGACTTTCCATACGGGCTACACGCGTATACCAAGTCACACTCACGCCTGATTTGCCGGTTTCACTCTCTTCCGAATGATCGGTTGTGCGCGTCGATGGAAAAGCTCTGTCGCAACCGTAGGTATAGGCGAAGGGGCCCAAAGAAGGCACTTATATATTATAAAGATGTCGCAACATACACATGAGTATAAACACGGTAAGTATATATTTGGATCTCCTGGAGACGTGTATTTTCGGACACGCATGGAGTAGCGTGCTCCCTTGCGCAACTCGAAAATATATATTTTTTTTTTTCAACCGGGGGAGGGACACGTGTGAAATGGTAACATCGACCGCGCGGCTGATTTACCGACCCCTTTTGGCGCGGATCGAGTCTCCGTATGGATAGGTATACACCGATTAACGAGGAGAAAAGAGTTGTGTTTTTTTACGCATACGTGAAATGGGACGCGATCGGAGACACGGCAAGACAATGCACAATAGATTCGTTCGGTGGACTAGATGAAAAATTGTTCTCCTATCGCGGGCGATGCCATCTCTCCCGATCCCATTCAAACGCCCATGTAAATTAGCATTCCCTCCTCCTCCTCCTTCTGCTTCCTCTTTTTCGAGGTATATACTCAAGCATTATACGTACCTATACCTATCTGTGCTCTCTGTGTTTTCTATACGATTATATACTCTTTTCCCTCGGGACACGCGTACCTATATCATGTTTTATACCTACTCGCCGCATTCCCTCGCTACACCAATATATATATAACATATAACACAGTGTACCTACAAGGTACCATGCCGATGGTACACTCTTTTGCGTGTACAGCGAAATGTACCGTTCGCGAGCTCGCACAAATCGGCCCCCACCCCCTAACTCTCTCTCTCTCTCTCTCCTGTGTCATTAGCATTATATCCTCATACTCTGCATGTGTTGATGGCTGTTTGAAAATAAAAATTGACTATGCAAAACAGGGGGGGAATTCCTTCCAATTATACGGACGGGCTAGGAGTTGCCGATTTCTACCAAGGTCGACCCCCTACTACTACTTTAATAATAATTTATCCGTTCATGCACCCTTATGTCTTATCGGAGTTTACACACGTATTTTTTTTTTTTTTTTTTTTTCACGCATAACTAATTACACAGAGAGATGGGGAGAGAGAAGCACAAAAATCTCGTAACCATACACGGTAATAAAAAGTATAACACGTCCGGACTGCGGGCGCTACTTTTATTGTGCAAGTACGAGTATAGGGTGTATACGTATAAATCCACCGTAAATGAAGCTTCAACAGATTTCGCACCTGTTGTATTACCCGGCACCGATTAACACAGCACTGATAACACCATCTAAACGCACTGGTTCCCTCCCCCCACCCACTTCGATGTAGAGCGTAGCCCATCTGCTGTTTCTGCTCGTATACACGAGAGTACGAAGGCACAAATTTTTTATTTTATTTCCGCCGATTAACACCTCGCGAGCATAGTCACCACACGGACGCGACTACATCTGCAGTTACACGTATGACGATACAATACGCGCACTGGATATAATATAACGCATGTAACATGAATCGGTGTGATATTCTGTCTTTGGCGTTCTCGTACGGTATAGTTCCCCCCCCCTCTGGTGAACGGGAGCTCGTATATTCACACGCGACTTGTGTGTGCCACCTTCATCGCCGTTGCGAAAATGAAATGAAAAAAATAGGCGTATAGGACTTGTATGGCGAGAGAGTAAAAGAAAAAGTATACCGATCAACAACTCAACGGGGAAAACCGGTATTCGCGCACTGGTGCACGTTGTCACGCAGTATATCCGCACCATCACGAGCATCAAAGGGGTTCGCCAGGTTGCTCGCTGCTCAGCTGTAAACATATACACACATACTACACACGCCGACTATCCGAGAGAGAGAGAGAGCCGTGCACACATGCCGAACCGTCCCGATCGCTACGCATGTATACGTGTATATGGATTGTAAATATATTTCGGAGCATCGGATGGTGATGATCCTCTCGGGCAGTAGGTCACCAGCTGGTCGGCTCTTCTCTTCTTTTTCACCTCCCGTTATCCTGCCGATCCGGTGACGAGTTGGTGGTTTCAACACATACACCCCCACCCCAAATAAACAACAAACACAAGGGTGCCCTCACAATAAATAAATATACTTGGGATAAATGTATTATTGTGTAAAAATATTATCAATACTCTATGTGTGTATAATGTACGAGCAAAGAGAGGAGCTACGGGGCGCTTGACGTTGCCTCACGCGCTCCAGTGGGTAGTTTAAGCGTGTACTGATGGCTCTTTCTCTCGCTTCTCCTCTCCCAGCCTCTGCAGGCCTGCACTGCTCCCCCCGTGCTTATATCATATATATATATACACGTATATATACACGCGAGTATAACGTACGTGCATATATGTATAGGCGCGTGAAAAAGGCGACGTCGGAAATAAACCCTCCCTCGGCCGTGTGCGAACGTATAAAGCAACAAACACCGGCACAGAGCCGACTCGTCGTGGAAGTCGCGCGCTCCTCGTCGTCTTCGTAGAGCACACCCGCGCGGAGTATAAAGCTGCGCACAGATGCCGTTGACCCGGCTTTCGCGTGGTGTACCTACTGCTCATGCATATACCTATATGTATTTAAATTGCTCGCGATTACATATATGTATATATATACATACGTAAACATTCAGCTGGAACGTATATGCATGTGTATAATATACTGTATGTACGTACACCCCGTATGGGTTGTGCTTGTGAGCATATGCTGAAACGAAGAACAAGAGAAGAAGAAGAGGAGGAGAAAGGGAAGATGCAAAATTTATATAGGATGCGCAAGAGCGAGTCGGCACGAGCAACTTCGACCTGGTTCTATATCTCTTTGCTCTTTTCGCGAGAGAGCACCGGCAGTTCTCTAACTCTCTCTTACGGCGAGAATTACGTAAACGTCCTCGATAGCTTATTATCTTTATCCTTTTTCGATCCACCACCACACGAGCTCTGGGCAACATTTTTTTTTTTTTTTTTTTTTCTGTTCCCTTTTCATTCTCGTCTCTCATATCTGTCCACGTTTTTTTTTTTCCTCAAGCATATATACTTTTCCCATACAAGGCGGTTATTATAATATTTGATACACTTTTCACGGGGGTGCTATTTATCGGGTAAAAGAAGCGGATGAGCTTTCCGGTCTCTCTCTCTCTTTCTACACCGGCTACCGGTACCGATGCCCTGACCCGCACACATTGCTCCATATAAATATTCAACGTGTGCAATATGGTACGACGAGAAGAAAATCGGGGCACAGAGGAAGTAGGTATATGCAACCTTAATAAAAGAGACTCGCGCATGTATAAGGTGCACAACGTACGATGCGGATCGCGGTGCGCGAAAGAGTATATCTGTACGAGAGATGCACACCACCACTACGTCGATTTGGATGCTGTACTCTTTGAATGACCGCCAAAGATTGTACCATGTAATAATGTGTACGGATCGCATTTTTACCCCAACCACACACATAACTCTCGGCATACCGAAACAATGGACCACATTGTTACGCGAAAAATAGGGGCAAACACACCCTGTTGGTAACTAGGCCACATTCATTTTGGACACTGTTACCCTGGCTATAAATCCATAAGTGATTTTTCTCCTTTCCTCGTTAACTGTACCACAAAGTGAAAGTCAATTTGTTGCTGTCCGTATGAAAAAGATGCAGCACTCGCACTATTCTTCATGGAATTTGCGCGTAATTGACGCGCGTGAATGGAAAATTCTATACTGATGTACCACGCATTTTTTTATGTGCGACACGATATTGCGAAGACATTCAATTCACTTGGAGATTGGACTGGCTTTCGTGGAATAGTGTATCCGTTGCATCTCGTAGGTAAAAAAAAAAAAAAAGTCGAATTTAACGAGTGGAATGAAGAAGCGGAAAAATAGTCCTATAGCTTGGACCGAGGCACGGCATAGGGGAGCGAGACGGCCAATCGATTTAACGGTACGGCAGAGAGACAACAGCATAGCCGGCTTCATTCATATTCCGTGAGCGCGCGAGGCCCTGAACTAGCCAGCCGGTCGGACGACTATACCTATGCTACTCCGATGCTTTCGTGAGCACGCCGTATAATATATAATGTACGGCTATATCACAACCAACTCTAATCCTTCCTTCCTGCCTCCTTTGGTTCCTTCATTTGTTCCTTCCTACGTTGCTGCAGGTATATCTAACACGCAAGGGTACCGAGCAGATGTGCGCCCATCTGTTCGTGATTCCTATTTTTTTTTTCTCTCGTGGGGTGAACATTTTTTTTTTTCCATTCATGTGTTTTTTAACGAAGGCTCGGGAATGTTTACCTTTTTTTTGTAGGAAAAAAAAACTGCAATTTGTACTTACTCGGTATTTCTTTGCTGTTTGCGCTGCTCAAGTCACTTGCCGAGCTGCGCACGGAACTTCTTGCTGTCTCCTGGTTGGGAGAATTCGTGTCCAGACGACCTCGGATCCTTCTGTAGATAAACAAAAAATAATCAAATCAATAAAAAGTTGGTATAACGTGAATCAGATGGAAAAAAAAACTTGTCGGGCCTATTAAAATTTTTTACAAAAAAATTTAACTCCTTTAGCTCAAAGTAGTTTTTAATGCAGTTTTAAACAATTCATCAGATAAAGCGGAAATCTTGCTTCGATCTAAATGTTTACGAGCATACTTAATTTAAATGACGGTTGTTTCACTATTCCTTTAAATCGATCAATTTAGATATTATCATCAAAATTTAATGAGCTCGTCAATCATGTACCAGTTCATTAAGAAAAGTAATTTTAGATTAGAAAATATAGGAATAATGTTATCGACACTATTTCCAGGAACGTTTTTAAAAAAAATTTTCAAATAAACACAACCCGAAACACCCACCGTTTGTCTTTGATATTTGCATTGTTGTAATTATCACCACCCATAGTTGCTCGCCTTGTTGAAGAAGTCGACGCCGTTGAACTTGTAGATGTGCCCAAATTTTGCAAAACTCGCGACTTTACGTCCTTCTTCAGAGGTTTGCTTCGTTGCTTGCTCGCCTCTATCTTATTCATCACGGCATCCCAGCGTCCGGTTTTTCGCTGCTGCCTCTGAAGCCTCCTTGACTCACTCTCCGTCTCTTCTTTCGCTGTAAAATTCCATTCGATAAAATACAAAACAAATAATACAAGATCAGCCGAGGTATAAATTATACTGGTGTACTAACAAATGTTATGATTTGACTCGATCATCGTTTTGATTTTCGAGATAACGTTTCTCTTTGGCATTTTGTACTTTTTGAGCGGCACCGAGTTCTCTTTGTTGCAGATGCTATTGGACTTTGACTTGGTCGCCGAGTTTTGCTCGTTCTTTTGGCACTTGATCACAGTCACTTCGGCCATCGACACGGCAGATTCCACCGAATCGTTCAACATACTCATTGGGGACTAAAAAATAAAAAAAAACATGAATCAAACGTCCATTTAAAAGTTTCAACTGATGTATCTCTACGCAAATGATCTCACAAGTGCATTATTGACGATCAGAGCTGGTATGGGGGTCTTGTCCCCGGGGGAGGGCTGACTCTTCATGGATATCTCGGTATCCCCGGTGTCTCCAGTGTCGGTCGTATGGTCGCCATCGCCGTAGCCCTCGGCATCGACACCGGCACTGTCCTGGCGCTTATCCAGGTCCGAGTAGATACCCGACGAGTCCATCTCCTCGCCAGGCTCGAAACTCGGGCAGCGTCGCTCGTTTGGCGCGCAGAAGAGCGTGCCGTCGATAACTTGCGCTCGCCTGTCACCCCGCACGATCTCCTCGTGCGCATCCGCGTCGCTCTCCGTAAAAAAGTCCGAGTCCGTCATTGGATCTTGCCTGAAAATCGATCAATTCCATTTTTACTCGGCTCCTCTAATCAGAGAGTGTATTAAGAAAAAAAAAAAAAAAAAAAAAAAAAAGAAGATAAATGCAAGGGAGACACGGACCTACAAGCTGCACTGACGATCAGAGTGGCTGCGGGGGCGATCGAGAGGGGCTCGGCACCCCGACTGGCGGGTCTCGAGTTCTCCCCATCCCCCTGGTAGCCGGCCTCGAGGCTCGTGATGCTCGTAACCGAGGTGATGAAGCTCGTCGGTAGAACGTGGCCGCTGCTGACGCTGCAACGCGTCGGCTCGCTCGTGTTCTCGCTCGTCTCCGTCGAATCGATGGCGACCTTTTTCGGCGACAACTCGGCCGCGCTGTTTGCCTGATGCGCCGGGCTCTCGATCGATTTTTCTGTTGAAACGAGGTAACACGTGAAAAAGATGGGAAACAAAAAAAAAAAAAAAAAAGAAACAACGACGCGAGGATCAGTGGATTTGTTACCGCTGGAAAGAGTCCGGTCGTGCAGCTCGGCCTCCTCGTCAACGACGATTACAACGGGCCTCGGATCAAGGGGCAACTCCTCGAGAGACGGGCTCCGATCGTTGGCGGGCAAAAGCGCCTCGATCGACGGCAAACAAGCGGCGATGTCCAGGTTCCGACTCGCAGCCGACGCCACCGAGCTATTTTTACCCCCTGTAATGTACAACATTCGTTATAGCGATTAATTATACCAATTTGGGAGGGGGATGAAAAAAAAGAAAAAAAGTAAACATCCAACCCGAAGACGTGTGGCCCGATAGGTTCTCGCAGGAGGGGGTTCTCGAGGAGCCGAGTGCCACCGTGAAATCGGTCATCTGATCTGGCGTGAGGATGCCCAGGCTCTCGTCGTGCTCGAACGAGTTCTGCTTGGTAAGCATCAAGTAGTGCGGCGCCGTCGCGACCGGCGATTCTATTGCGTAGTCGGCATTGCTGCTGCTGTTGTTGTTGGTGCCAACCTCGCTGCTCGCGTTGCTCAGATCCTCGCGCGACTCTTGCTTCTTTATGCCAGCGTCGTCGTAGCCCGACAGATCTTCCTGCGAGCTGCACAAAACGACAACACAATTCGCACGTCATTCAACTATATACGGATGGCAAATAATCCATCCACGTGCCACAACAACTCACCAGAGGAACCCAAGCTTCTCGTTCTCACCGAGTCGCATCAGTTGGTCCTTCTCCTTGTTGTCCGCCGACGAGTTCCATATCGTGGATATCGAGTAATCGGCTTCAAACGTATCGTCTGAAAAAAAAAAAAAAAAAAAAAAGCACGTGCACGAGACACGCAAAATTATGATGAAAAAGGAAAAAAATTCTATCCATACCCGAATCCGATCCCTATCGCGCAAANAAAAAAAAAAAAAAAAAAAAAAAAAAAAAAAAAACAAAGCACGTTACGTACTATACATGGCACAAATCGGTAGGTGTATTATAATGTATACCTTTGTCCTTGGTCTCGGTAGACTCGCGCCCCCGGTATTGGGTATCGATCTTGGGTTGCTTCGCGGGCACGTCACCACAGTACCCCGTAGAGGCGGTTTTGCTGCCAACGACGAATTGCTGCTGTTTGTTGAAGGAAGCACCGGAGGAGCAGTAGCCGGAGGGCGAGCGCCTATGTCCGAGGCTGCCGATCTTCGGTGGCGCTCCCAGCGAGCGGATCTTGGGCAACAGCGAGGGCCTCGCCGTCGTCCGAGGCAGCGGTATTCTGCTCTCGCCTGCGTTCTGCAACCCAAAAAAAGACAAAAAAGTGATTTTTTGTATCGAGAGGGTGCACGCAATCCCAAGTCTCCCGGACCCACGTGTCACTATCATGCTGTTACTTACGGACTCCCAGCCGGAACCTTCATATTTTTTGCACCTACACGGCATGACGGTACTTAATATTAACTTTGCCCGACGCAGGAGGATTCAATATATACGATACAGTTGGCTTTCGAGTGGATTTAGATGGACGGGCAGAGGTAACGTGGTTGGTTCAACTATTCGAGCTCAACTGACGGTTATTGCATAAATCAACGCGTACAGTCGGACAAAGTGCAGCGAGTGTGAGTATACACACCTACAATAAAGTGTACGTGTCGGCGTTTGTTGTTCGACGAAACGAAAATGCCCATTAAGATATAGTTTGTATTCGTATATTGATGGGCAATGTGACGTACTTACACGTACCATTAAAAATACGATTCGAACGATAACGATCGACCGTTGCTCCGAGTTATGATTTTTCAGGGAGATAAGCGCGCTTCTGTGTAAAAATCAAAAGGTTTGGTAATAAATATAAGAGCGGGCCACAGCCATCACTTGTCTTCTCGTTATTATTAATTATACATCATACACGGCGGCTCACGACACGGAACAATGTGCGCGCGCGGGACTCTTTCTTCTTCGCTCGATTGATTGCCCGTGAGGCTGCATTTGTTTTTTTAGTGCAAGTATAATACATAGATGCTGTATAATGTATACACGTGTAAACTGCTCTTGTTACGCTGCGTAGTTTTTCACCAACGTTTGGTAAGCGTCAACGTGCGCATTGACAGTAATTGCGTTATTTGTTTTTTTTTTTTTTTTTTTTTTTTTTTTTTTTTTTTTTTTTTCTTTTTCCCGTATAACACGCACCTATAGCTTAAATAATGCATTACCGAGATAACAGTCCACCATCCACAAAAATAGACAAACCTTTTTTTGTTTTTTGTACAAATGGCTCTCGCGTCGCCATGTACCTTCATCATCGTTGGTTTACATAAGAAAAACACCTATATACTGCGCATAGCTTGTCTGATGTATAAGAATGATCATAGCAATAGCAATGTAAGCCCTGGCAATAAGCCGAGTACCCTCGCGCCCCCCCCCCCCAGGAAGGATACAGTTGATGAATAAAAAGTTTGGTAACCTTAGCTGACGTTGATACGTATTTTTTGTGCCGGGACGGAACCGAGCCTCACGTCGAGTAAGAGAGAGAGAGAAAAAAAAATAATAATAATAAAACAACCTGACAAACGCATCAACCTGTCTCTCGGTCTCGTGCGTCTTCCGTTCGCGAAGGCTTGCTGTACTACAGCTACTAAAAAATACATAAATACATACACCATAACACGGGGCACCATATGAAACTTAAGACAATGGGAGTGATGAGAGGGGGAAAAACAAGGAGAGTGGGTGGTGGTGGAAAGGCAAATTAAAAGCGACAGTCAAAAGACGGAGCTAAGGAGGAGGAGAGGATAATTATATTCGATTACGGCTTTAATTTCCGCCAATTCCAGTCTTCTGTATACACTCGAGCGGACTCGAGGGGGTCTCTTTGTTAATCCACGTACATTGTACGATAGTGCCATTTTTCCGCACCGACCCCCGGCTTTCTACAATAGCGTGGCAATTTGTCCCTCGCCCCCTCCCCCCCGACTCATTCATTTTCCTATTCTATTAACGTTGTTTTATTGTTATTACATACATAGGAATATAGGCATGAGTTAAACGCGGGAGAATGAGCTTGCGGAAATTGACGGCAATATGGCACACGCTGTCGCGAATAAGTAGAACGCGCGCCTTCTCTCTAGCTTCGATATCTTTTTTTTTTTTTTCCCCTCGTTTCTCTCTCAGGCCGCAACGGCATCTCGAGTAATTTAGCAATTGACCGATTGCACAAATATACTGTCGCTACTGCGTGTTTTTTTCCTGAAATTTTTCTCATTCAATGGTAATCGATTAATAATCGTACATGAGGAATCATAGTATCGACAAAGTGGAGCGCAACTACCGAAGTGCGAAAAAAGATGGTACTTATTAATATACATATAGTATGTTTGCGGGGACTTTGCTTATATATTTATACACTGTAAATCCAAGTGCGTTATTTTAATACACTTGGAGCGTGTGAACCGCCGTCACAGAATTTACACGTTTCTAGGCGTTTTATTCCAACACGCCTCAAGTGTGTATTTACCACACGCTTCAATGTGCCTATGTGTGTTAAAATACACGCTATATATATATATGTGTGTGTGTGTGTGTAACTAAACACACTTGGATTTACAGTGTATTTGCATTTACATTGTTATGAAAAAACACATCGCGTGCGAATGCCACTGTATACGGATGGAATAGACCATCGAAGTGGGTGTTGATGCTTTTTATACGCATTGTAATATGAATAATGGAGCATCGCGCCAAAAATAATTAAAAATGTTTATTCATCGTTTATATTTATGGAATCAAGAAAGAAAAAAAAAAAAAAAAAAAAAAAAAAAAAAAAAAAAAAAAAAAAANAAAAAAAAAAAAAAAAAAAAAAAAAAAAAAAAAAAAAAAATGGAAGAGAGGCCAAACTTTGCGAGTTAGGCGTGCACTCGCGACACTTGTCCGCAGACAGATTTATCGACGTGAATGTTGAGTGCCTCTGTGGGTGTACCTACAGGTATATATACGCTATATATGCCTTACAATCGAAAACTAAAACGAAAGAAATCCGACATAGTCACGCAATCAGGCGACGACCGGGGAAAAGTTTCTCTCCGCGCTAAAAACACAACAGGTGCTCTCTTGTATATATATATATATATAATATATATACCGTACCGGCACTCGCTCTGTCCCCTATGTACAGTGTTTCGCGATTTTTAAAAGTGCGCGGATTGCGGATACAGAAAGTATAACCTCTACATCTGCAGTAATAGGTATATACATGGGTTGTTGGAGAGCGACTACGAGGACAGCTTCGCCGCGGAACGAGAGTCAAGATAAGTAGGTGCGTTGCTCCCCATCATCCCTATATACATATATGCAGCTGCGTGCACAGTCATCATATAAGTTTGAAACTTTCTTTTCCTTCAACGCCCATCGCTCTCGAGCTGCGGTCTCGCCACATATACATGTCCGTCGTATTTCGAGAGGCTGCAAAGATCACGATTTTCAACAAAAAAAAAAAAAAAATTAATAAATAACGGTGATGATCCAAAAACCACGAATCGTCCGTGGCACGCGATGACACTTGAATCACTCCCCTCGAAGGGATGCATCAAAAAATTTCTTCGAGTCAATTACGAGCGACAAGTATGAGTGTATATATACGTATATAAACCCATTCTATATGTATAACGGGTACTTGGCTCTAATGTACCTATACGACAATTGGCATTCATTAATACATACTCGCCGGTAATTTTATACAGTAAGCACCGAGCATCAGATCGTCCGACCTCAAAAGGGAGAAAGAGCTAGACTCGCCGGCGATCGGTAACGATTTCCGATTTTCTCTCCGCGATCAGCGCGTCCGGCCGCGAATAAAAAATCTTCCGGGTCTGTCTGCAGGGTTATATATATATATATAAAGGGAATCTAGGTGAGAAGTGGCCCCCCGCGGAGGGTTGTCTGCTACCTGGGTGCTACCTGTTCCCAATGCGATATATATAAAGGTAAAATTGAGTATCGAGCTGCGATGGGGGCGCCAAGAAATATAGGGTACAAAAAGCCGTCGTCATCCCCATGGCAGGCAGCANTATTTATTATATATACCGGTTCTCCGCGCTGTGAGAACGCGATGTACATTATAATGCATCAGAGTTGCGACGGCCGCGCTCGTTTTCATGCACAATGCAACACCTCGCGCGGAAACAATTGCCGTCGATTCAACGCTGGTGGCTTTTTTTTTTTTTTTTTGTTCACGTATAGGTCTGTCTGCAGGGTTATATATATATATATAAAGGGAATCTAGTCTATTATTTGTTTATGAATTTATATATATATATAGGATCGGTATCGTTATAAGTTTTGCAGAATTTAATGATAATACACAATGGGAGCTCTGTTTCACCCGATATTCTTGTTGATGTACATAATGACCATGGGGTCGTTGACCCCTTATCCCTCCCCATGTGCGGCGTTGGTTGTTGTTAATGCCACACTACTGCGCGACTACTTGTGTGTACACTTACACCGTGTAGCACTCCTTACCGCGGTCGTTGCTCGTCGTCGTCGTTGTTTACCCATCATGTTAGGATGTGTGAGTAGTAGGTAGGTACAAGTGCACTTTTGCAAGAAATGCGGGCTCTAGGGCGCATCAAACTTATACGATTGCGACGATAATTAACATTTTCGGGACCTATAACGTAAATCGATATTTTCGTTCGGTAAACGAGACCCTCAAATTCAGGGAAATATGTAAAAAAAAAAAAAAAAGTTACTTGAAAAAATAAAAAATATAACAAGGACACGCGCATTACCGATAATCACAGATCAAGAAACAACGCCCCCATAACTATCCATTTCGATATCACCACTGGCAGCAGAGAGAAAGGGAGAGAAATTATTAGTCCCTCTTGCGCTGGCAATGTATGATTACAGTTTTTACGATCAACGTGCCCCCGCGCGAATCAAAAAAACTTCAGCTGAAGATAATAATAGTAATAATAATAATAATGTGTACGCGGGTAAGTAACAGGGGAGTCGTTATACTTGCGTAGCAAGCGCGACTCGAGGAGGGCGGGGGGGGGAGAAGCAAATGATGATAAAAAAGAAACGGTGCACGGAGTTACAGTAAATATACAGTAGTACTCGCGATACATGTGTGTATATATGTATATATACCAACTATAGCAAACAGTCCCCATTAACCAACGAACGAACGTGTATACGCGCGCCGACTAGTGATTTTCCTCGTTTTTTTTTTTATCCGCGTTCGCATTGCGCCTTCCTGGCACGCGAGTTGTGATCGATGCTCTCGTCTGTGCCGA